TCAACAGTTTAAGTACTGGCTGCTCTGCTTCCAACCCAGCCCCCTGCTACTATGCCAGGGAAAGCAGTTGAAGATGGCCCAAGTACTTGGGTCCCTGTCACTAATGTAGGAAACTAAGATGGAGTACCTGATATTCTGGCTTTGGTCTGGCCCAGCCCCGGCCACTGCAGTCATTTGAGGAGTGAACCAGCTGACAGAAGATCTCTCTCTGTTTCTCCCTCTTATTCTGTAATTTTGTCTTTCATATAAATAAATGAATATTCAGGAAAGAAAAACATAGTGTAAAGGCAAACTTATCATTGGAAGAAAATAGCTTCAATTCACTTACACGACACAGGACCTATATCTAGAATATATAAACACTGAAATGGTGACAACTCCCAAATGCTTGCAAAGAATCAGAGAAATCATAATTATATCTAAAGGCTAAATAAAAATATGAGAACATGACTCACAATAAGAGAATAATGAGAAAAAATACTATTATAAAAAAGTACAAAATAGAAAATTTCAAGTTAAAAAGTACAATTGAAACAAAAATTTCTCTACAGGGTTCAAACACCAAATCTGAACTGGAAGAGAGGATCTGCCAACTTAAAGACAACTCAATGGAGTTATCCAGCTTAAGGAAAGAAAAAACAAAAAACAGAACTCTGAGGCCTACAGGACAAGCTATGGAGCACTAAAGAACTGTACAGTGAGAAAATGAAAAAAGTAACAGAAAGAACTTTTCAAAAATAATGGCTAAAGAGTTTCAAATCTGTTGAAAAACTTAGGATTATAAAAAATTCTGCGTGATACTATGGTATATATGGTAGATATATGGCACTGAATATCTGTCAAAATCCACAAAATCTGGATCGCCTTGTGGCACAGTGGGTTAAGCCACCCCCTGCAACAACAGAATCCCATAAAGGGGGCGGTTTGAGTTCTGGTTGCTGCATTTGTGATCCAGCTCCCTGCTGATGCACCTGAGGAAACAGCAGAAGATGGCCCACACGGATGGAGTTCTAAGATCCTGGCTTCAGACTGCAGCTATTTGGGGGAGTGAACCAGCAGATGGAAAACCTCTCTCTCTCTCTCTCTTTCCAACTCTTTCAAATAATGAAATAAATATCTTTAAAATCCACAAAATGTACCATGAGTAAAACCTAATGGAAACTGTAGACAGCAAGTGACAACATTGTGCTAATGTAGGTTCAGCCATGTATTAACAAAAACACTACTGTGGTGTGGGTTGTTGATATTGAAGGAAGTTGTGCATATGTGGGTTAGGTGGGCATATGGGACTTCTGTACTTAATATTGCCGTGAATCTAAAACTGCTCTAAATGTAAAGTTTATTAACAAAAAAAAAAAAAAAAAAAAAAAAAAAAAAAAAAAAACACCACATTGCCAAGACAATGTTACTGAGTTTTTTTCCTAAATAAATGAAAGCCACAGATTTACACCATCCAGATGCAATTGGCCTACATCTAACCATGAAGACTACTCTGGCATTTCTAAACAAAGCCTAAATGTTGCCATTAAAATATTTGTTTTGATTCTGGACTCAGAGTACAGCTAATAAATAAAAATGGGAATAAGCAACTGCAAAACAAACTGAATACAGCTGCTGAACAAGAAGTTTCACAGCTCAATCCAGTGGCAACCCATAATTCCTGCTCTGAATGGAACTCAAACACAACAGAATAGCAAGCAACACAGTCAGCAAACGTACATTTCTTCTGAATTCATTTTGCACTGTTCTTTTACAAATATTTATTGATTTTAAAGACAGAGTCACAGAGAGAGGGAGAGATAAGAGAGAGAAAGAGATCTTCCATCTGCTGGTTCACTCCCCAGATGTCTGCAACAGTTGGGGCTGGGCCAGGCTGAAACCAGGAGCCTAGAACTCCATCCAAGTCTCTAAAGTGGGTGCAGGGGCCCTGGGACTTGGGTTATCTTCCTATTTTCCCCAATGCATTAGCAGGGAGCCAGATGGGAAGTGGAGCACATGGGAGTCTAAGCACCGCCCATATGGGCCCCACTGTGCCCCAATACCAGCCCCTGCATTATTCTTCCAACATGTGCCCTTCATAGTATATTTACCACTGCCCATGAGGAACCACAGGTGTGGTTTGCAGGGCATTTTTACAATTCTCTCATTTAAAAATATATCCTTCTTTTTAAAAAAAAAAAAAAAAAAAGCCTAAAGTAAATTTTATCTAAACTGTATGCTGGAGTGGTACAGTAACACATAAAAGTAAATTGATTTGAGAAAGATCAGTTTTGGGGCCATCGCTGTGGCTCAGTGGGTTAATGCCCTGGCCTGAAGTGCCGGCATCCCATATGGGCGCTGGTTCCAGACCCAGCCACTCCACTTCCTGTCCAGCTCTCTGCTATGGCCCGGGAAAGCAGTAAGATGGCCCAAGTCCTTGGGCCCCTGCACCCACGTAGGAGACGGGGAAGAAGCTCCTGGCTCCTGGCTGCGGATCGGCACAGCTCCAGCTGTTGTGGCCATCTGGGGACTGAACCATCGGATGGAAGACCTCTCTCTCTCTCTCTCTCTCTCTCTGCCTCTCCTCTCTCTGTGTAACTCTTTCAAGTAAAATAAATAAATCTTTAAAAAAAAAGAAAACAAGAAAACTAGAAAGATCAGTTTTTAAAAAGACACAACTTTTTTGTATGTTTTGTTTCTATTAAATGATTTTCTAAACTTATAAAATAAGTATTCTGACAAGCACTGTTATTATTAGTCACATTACACACTTCAAAAAAATGGCTTCAATTAAATATAGAGAACTTCTACAGGATAAAAAGTTAAAACTAAATGCCACAAATAAATTTAGGATATATGAATACATGGAGAGATAAATAAAGACAATAAAATTGGAGAATCAATAGATTATATTTCAAGAAAGACTAGCATAAATAAAAAACTGTTACTAATGCATTAAGGCCAATTTAAATATCTTTGTACAGTATACCAATTAATAAAATTTCAGACTAGCCAAAGCAATTCAGTCAATGAATAGAGAACTAACCCATTTTATAACATCTTATTTCTCAATCATATTGGTAACATATAGGGAAGAACCTGATGTATTTACTTTTCATTTTAAATCCAAAAATAATTCTTTAATGTCACACAAGAAAATTTAAGGAAAAAAATCACAACTGCAGCATCCGTATCTACAACACATAATGTACTTACATTATAATAAAAAAGTGAAGACAATAATTAGTAATGCATGGGCTCGTTAAGCTGCTGTCTGCAACACCAACATCTCATGTGAGTGCCAGTTCGAGACCTGGCTGGTCTACCCCTGACCCAGCTCCCTGCTAATGCACCTGGAAAAGCACCAGATGATAGACCGAGTATTTGGGTTCCTTCCAACCACATGGGAGACCACAGATGGAGTTCCTGGCTCTTGGCATCACCTGGCCCAGTCCTAGGTGTTAATGGCCATTTGGGGGAAACAGTAGATTAAAGATGTTTTTCTCTCTGTCCCTCCCTCTCACTCTCTGTCACTTTGCCATTCAAAAACATAAAACTACTTGCTACACTAAATATATAATCAGGATTTTCAAGTCATTGAGAATTTTCTTCCCTCTTGATTATAATCAAGTTATAACACTACTCTGAACAGCAAAAACAATCAGAGCTGAACAGTAAATAACTCAGATGAATGATTAGTAACTGAATAAAATTTTTGCCAACCAGCTACCACAAATCATTATGTAAATCAATTGTGTGAGTGGTTACTGAGTTATAACCCTCCATTTAATTCAAATACTTAAACAGCTACAAAGCCTTTCTAAGAAGTTTTGGAAAATCTTATCTGTTGCATGATAATCTGATGAGTCCAACATACAGATTTTCTTTCACCATCTATTGTGTTCAATAATATTCTTACCTCACTCATTTAATATTCATGTACCAGGAAAGGGGGATAATACTACTAGCCAATCATCTTTTAGTTCTCACCTCAGTTCTGAATTCTATTTGCAAAACTTTCCCCAATATCAGGCTAACAGTCATCTCCTAGCACTCTGTCCTTAGTCCATATTATGAGTGTCTACTTCTTTGTTCTAAACCACTATTTACTGATCCACATCACTACAACGTACTCTGTATACAGACTGCCGCCTATTAACTGAATCACCAGTTCTTAGCCAGGTGATATGAATGGAGCCTCTAGCCAAACAGCTACCTTGCAATGTGTTCAGCTGAAATAAATGAAACAATTTTTCATAAGGGACTCAAATACTTTAGTACAATATATTGTTTCAGCAATAATGGAAAGACTGGGGACAACTCCCTCTCAGAATATTTATTTATAAGGTCTGGGCCAGGCCAAAGCCAGGATCTAAGAACTCTATCCTGGTCTTCTACATGGTGGCAGGGGCCCAATTATTTGGGCCACCTTCTACTGCCTTCCCAGGCACAGTGACAGAAAGCTGAATTGGAGGCAGACTAGACTCAAACCAGCACTCAGACATGGGATACTGGTGCTGAAAGAGGCAGCTTAACCTGGAAACTTAACTATTTTGAAACTTAACTATTTAGATATTTGCTGAAAATGAAATGATATCAAGATATCCATTATGATGTTGCTTAAAACACACAGGTACAGTTACTATTTCACTGTAAATATTTTATTTTATATTAATTTTTATTAACTCCCTGCGATGTTGGCATCCCATATGGATACCGGTTCAAGTTCTGGCTGCTTCACTTCTGATCCAGCACCCTGCTAATGACCTGGGAAAACAGCAGAAGACAGCTCAAGTGTTTGGGTCCCTGTCTCAAAATGGGAGAACTAGAAGCAGCCCCTGGCTCCTGCATTGAATAACATAAGGATTATTTATAATCATTACTGAGTATTACTAACTTTTTTGATCCATACTGATACATGAAAAACAAATTCTATCTTTCATATTTTGAATTTACAAAAAATATTCCCAGGATACACGTAATGCGAACAGCAAAATACAAAACAAACCAAAAAATCTTACCACTTGTATTGAAAGCCATGCAGCACACAGGCTTCTCATGGGCAGGGAAGTGGGCCACAATACCGTCGCTGTCAGAATCCTCACTCACAAGTACCTTCACAAAGGGAATAATGATAAATGGAGGTTAACAATTCCTCACCAATATGTGAAACTGAAGTTTATACATCAATATCTGTGAAAAAATGACATGCTTCTAATATACTAGAAGACATTCCTTTTAACTTAAGGTGAACATTTCACTTTGGAATAAGGAATAGATACAATATGGCCCTAGCAAGCAGATCAAGTACAGAAAATAAAATCACATGGAGCTTTATTCAAAGACAGGCAACACTGCTCTTAAGATGTTACAGACTCAGCTGGAAAAACCACAGATGTTTCTCAGGATGGTGAGACAATGCCTCAGAGAAATCAGTAGCTTACAAATTGAGAGATCTCCTTAAGAGGGGATGAGATGGCGACAGTATTGTGGCACAACAGGCTAAGTCAAGGTTTATGACGTTGGCATCTCGTATCAGAGTGCTGTTTTGAGTCCCAGTTCATCTACTTCCAATCCAGCTTGCTGTTAATATGCCTGGGTTCATGCAAGAACAGGCCTAGCTCACATCTGGCTGGTGCAGATGTTTGGGGAGTGAACCATATTTGTAAGACTGATCTCTCTGTCTCTCGCCCTCTCTTGCTTCCTCTCGAATGAATCTTAAAAAGGGACAACAAGATGAAGTTCAAGATGAAGCTAACATCAGTTCCCTATCCACATCAATTTGTGAACCAAAAAAAGTTAATATTGTTCATGCCGTAATTGAAGATGATCAATGATTAACAGCAGAAATAAAATCAACATAACAAACCTCTCAAATGATGGAGCTCATACTATTCTGACTAAAAACCAAAATGCAGCTAGCTTTCTGCTCAGTGGAGGCCACAGCCATCCTGCCCGCAAGAGTAGAGCTTTCAATGAAAACCGTGAAAGTCAGTTCAAGATCACGAAGCATCTCTTGAGATGAAACATGGTGTTGCAACAGGATCCCGAAGACAAAGCACAATCACACCAGTGACTGACAGCAGCTCCAACACAACCAAAGCAGCCTGATCAAGACAAAGGGCACAGCAACAGTTTTTCCGGGCACTCCAGGTATTCTGCAGGTAGAATCTCTGGAGGGCCAAAGAACAATACCATGTGTTTATTGTGCGCGTGTTTCAAGAAAGTCAGAGCTTTACAGAAAACAGCCAGGAGAGTATCACCAGAGTGCTTCTCTGTCATTCAATGGTCCTATTCATGTCTCCAATCACACAAGGGCAATTCTGCAAGTGTTTTGATGGGAAATCATTAGGCATTTGCATTACAATTTGGATTTGGTTCCTTCTAATTGTACCCACTATTCTTCAGATAATAAAGCAAAGAAGACTGCACCGACATAGTGGAATTTACAGGAAATGAATGAATTTCTTTATGGGTGGAGTAAATGTCTAGTATCATCACCAACAAAGTGTCTTGAACTTGAGGGAGTGTATATTGAAAACAAAAGTTTTGAGGCCAGAGTTGTGGCAAGTGGGTTAAGCCAATACCTGAGACACCAGCATCCCATCTGAGCACTGGTTCAAGACCAGATTGCTCTAGTTCTGATTCAGCTCCCTACTAATATACCTGGGAAATAGAGAAAGATGGCCCAAGTATTTGGGCCCTTGTCACCCATATGGGAGACCCAGATGGAGTTCAGCCTCTTGACTTCAGCCTGGCCCAACTATAGCTGTTGCAGCCATGTGGGAAGTGAACCACTGGACGGAAGACGTTTTCTTTCTCTTTCTCTCTCTCCTCCCACCCCCACCTTTCAAATAAATTTTCTTTTTAAATGGGAGGTGGATGTGAATGTTTTTACTTTTCATTGCATTTTCCCCTAAACACTCTGTACTACTTTCTACTTCTTTCATGTTTTCAGCTGAGAAATCAGCTGCCTATCATTATCTTGTTCCCAGGACTATAAAACATTATAGCCACACTGGAAAATGGTTACTTGCAAAATGCACAGTAAGACAACACAGGAATCAAGTTTAGGCACTCAATACAGAGAAAAATATCTATTCACATAGAAATCTTTACACAAATGTTCTTGTCAATATCCTTCAACAAGTGAATGGAAGAACTAATTGGAATTCATACAAAGGAATACAACAGCATGCTGAAGTATGAGCTACATGCAACAACCTGAATGGACTTTAAGTACACAATGCGTGGAGAAAATAAATCAATCCTAAGATGTTACACATTGTCTGACTCCATTTATAGAATGTTTTCAAAATCAGAAAATCATTGAGATGGAGAACAGGCTGTTAGGAGAAAAGGATGCGGGTGAGGTGAAGGATGGGAACAGACAAAAGGAAGCAGGCTGACCCTCTAAGAATGCACTGATACCTAGACTGTGTCAAACAAAAGCACATTATTGGTGCAAAATGAATAAGTCTTCATTATATGAACAAACACCTCAGGAATCATTATTATAAATAACACTTCTCCCAGGGCAAGAAATAGCTTAGGTTTATGTCAATTGGAGGCATTTTACTTCCAGTAGAAAATTTGCCACATTACTAACTTCAATTATATAAATGTGCACAACAGAAATCACACCACTTAACCTACCTTATTAAATAAAATTTTTTAAATAAAATATGAAAATGCCCCAGATAAAAATAGACACAAAGTCAATCAAATCCATTCTTCCTTAATGCTGTCACCACAGGATGATCAACTGCCATAAAATCAAACTAATCAATTTAGCACAAGATAATGAATCAGATTTTATACCTACCAATATGAAGATGAAAATATCATTATTAAAGGCTCAAAGAATTTAAAAAACCAAACACAGTATAATGTCAGATCTTGATTCTGAGATGCTCATATACAGAAAAAGAAAAACGTTATAAGTAATGCTAAACACCAGTGGCAAAGGCTAAATCTTAAAAATTTACAAAGTTAACCACTTCAGTCTTCCTAATACAACCTAGAAAAAACTAATAACAGCCTTGTATTCCAAATAAACTACTTAACAGAGAAAAAAATCTTATTGATGAAAAACTGATTAATGCTACCAAAAGACAAAAAGCATTATAGTGCAGGAATCTCCTTGTCATAAAAAATATGATTCTTTTAAAATGTAATAGCAACTTATCTGTTAATATAAATGTTTTGCCTCTCTGTTCTAATAGAATGTTTTAATCAATGTGAAATTTCAGAATACTTCATAAGTGGGAGATACAGCTCCCTCTCAACAAAAAAATAAAAAATTTCACATTGAACAACATTTGAGATTTTAAACTTCTTAAAAAGATTACATTTATTTATTTATTCATTCATTCACTCATTCAAAAGGCAGAGAGACAGAGATATCTTCCTTTGGTTTACTCCCTAAATGCCTGCAATAGATGGGGTTGGGCCAAGCCAAAGCAAGGAGCCAGGAAATCCATCCAGAACCCAAAGATTTGGACCATCTCCTACTGTTGGTGCATTATGAGGAAAACTGGGATAGGAAGCAGAAGTGGGACTTTATTCCAGGCATTAATGTGGGATTTGAGTGTCCAAGCAGTGACTTACCAACTTCATCATAATGCCGCCCCATAATCTTCTAACATTTCTAGGATATCTCCCAATAAGCATAATTATCTGTTTCAAGTGTTACCAATACACTCATCAGAGAAAAATGAACTTCTGAATCTCAACTACCTACAATTTCAATACTATCAAACTAAGAATTCCTATTTTTTACGTCATAAAAATATAAAGGAGAATTGAGAAAATTAAACTCTATTTGAAAATATAAGGGCTGCCTTTTTTTTTTTTTTTTTTTTTTTTTTTGACAGGCAGAGTGGACAGTGAGAGAGAGAGACAGAGAGAAAGGTCTTCCTTTGCCGTTGGTTCACCCTCCAATGGCTGCCGTGGCCAGCGCACCGCGCCTATCCGAAGGCAGGAGCCAGGTGCTTCTCCTGGTCTCCCATGCAGGTGCAGGGCCCAAGCACTTGGGCCATCCTCCACTGCACTCCCTGGCCACAGCAGAGAGCTGGCCTGGAAGAGGGGCAACCGGGACAGAATCCAGTGCCCTGACCAGGACTAGAACCCAGTGTGCCGGCGCCGCAAGGTGGAGGATTAGCCTATTGAGCCCCGGCGCCGGCCAAGGTCTGCTTTTAATATAATTCTTTTTAAGTCCTTGAACTTCAATATAATTAAATAAAATTGTTAATGCACACTCTGGGAGGCAATAAGTGATAGTTCAAATACTCGAGTCCCTGCCACCTTTGTGGGAGAACTGAAATAAGTTCCTAACTCCTGGCTTTCACCTGGACTGGCCCCAGTCCTGCAGCCCTTTGAGGAGGCAAACAGCAGACAGAAGAGCGTGTGCACTCTCCCTCTCTCTCTGCCTGTGAGAGTAAAAGTAAATGAGTTGCAATATTGAAAAGGAGGGGGAGGAATTTTTACATGAACCCATCTACATCAGCTAACACACACACAGTCTTAAAGATCAACTGAAAAGTGTGTAGTGTTTCATTAATAAACAATACAAGCCTCTAGCACACTTTGTTAACTATAAAGTCAGGACTGAAGAGGTACAGATGTATTACTATTCAGATTTCAAATAAAGTCTGAAGAGCAACACTTCTGTGAACCAGGCAAATTTATTCACTCAAAAATTCAAAGTTTTTTTTTACCTGCAGTAAAATTCACTTTTCTTGAGGTTCCACTACAAGCATTACTTCTTACAATAAGAAACAGCACATGAGTAGCTGCTAAAAGCAATTTTTCAATAAGATGTTGAATTTTGTATACTGGAAGCAGATTTTCATAAAAGATTATAAACTTTTAAAAATTAATGGTTTGAAGGCTCACATATTTCTAAGCATTGTGTTCTGAATTACAGAATCAAAAAACTATAAAAACTAAAAAGAATTTTATTTCACAACTACTATTATACTCAAAAGCTATTCAAAGAATCAATTTTGGATTTTTTTATGGCATGCATAGTTTTTCATAATATGTGTTTGCCTTGAACTTTTGCAGAATTTTCTGAACCAAAACAAACAACCACCAATTGCACTCTACGTCAATTTTTTTAAGTACCTTTGTATTACAAGAAAATAAGTTACAAATTTTGATGTTATTCACTAAACTATGTCCCTTGCAATAATAGTAAATTATTTTTGAAAAATTCTTCCATATATATTTACTATTGATTGCATTTATATACAACCTTTTGAATTAATAATAATTAAAATAATAGGTCTTAACATGTTAGTTTCTATTCTTTGACCAAAAAAATGAGATCTAAAATAATTTCTAAACCTCCAAATGACCCCCCAGGCCAAATTATTTTGGCTTATCTTGATCAGATCCCAATCTCGGCAAGTAATTTGCAGAACCCAAGTTCTTCCTACCTGCCCCTCTCCAACTGTTTCAGTATCGATCACTGTGATAATTCCAGGAACCAAAGGACTCCTCCGAGAGTTACTGTGGATGGCGACATCATCTTCTGTCACACCTGAGGGCAGCGTGCCTGTCAACTGAGTGACCACTTTCCCAACCATTGTCAAGCCACTTTTCAAGGTCTGCACAATGAGAGGCAAAAAGTATGTCTTCACATTAACACATGGTTTCTGAATAGAAATCTACATATAATTAATTATTCAATTCATTATATTAGTTTATAACTCATTACATAACAGTAAACAGCCATAATTTACATAGGCACAGTTAAGATCTCCATCACATAAGGATATCAGTGTATTTTATAAATGTATATATATATATATTTTTTTTTAAAGATTTATTTATTTATTTGAAAGTCAGAGTTACACAGAGAGAGGAGAGGCAGAGAGAGAGAGAGAGAGAGATCTTCCATCTGCTGGTTCACTCCCCAGATGGCCACAACGGCTGGAGCTGCACCAATCCAAAGCCAGGAGCCAGGAGCTTCTTCCGGGTCTCCCATGTGGGTGCAGGGTCCCAAGGACTTGGGCCATGCTTTCTCAGGCTATAGCAGAAAGCTGGATCGGAAGTGGAGCAGCCGGGATTCAAACCAGGGCCCATATGGGATGCCACAGCACCGGCCCCTAAAAATATATTTTTATTCTTTCCTCTTAATGTATATATCTTTTTAAAATACATGACATAGCGAGAAATAAGAATCTATGTCGGAGTTCTACTGTTTTTAAATATTATAATCTAACATAATATCTATTTTTTATCATTACTGAAACATGCAGAATACTCATGTACAAAAGCCTAGATTCCAATGTAAATCTATACTATGCTGTTATATAATAACTGTATTCCAAGACTCAACAAGTGTAAAATATATCGATACCACTTGTCCCAGATATTAATTATTAGATATATGAAGTATCATAAAATTAGTTGAGAGGGTGCATTTCTATCACCACAGGAAACAATTCAATGTAGTGCATCTAATACACAATTTTCACTAAAGATAACTTAAATGTGTAAAATTACCTCATATTTTGTCATGTACACAAATTAGCTTCCCAAGCATTCAAAAAAAAAAGTGAAGGTTTTTTATTATTATTATTTGAAAGTAAGATAGCCAGGGCCATGCTGCACAGGGGATTAAGTGGCTACCAGCATCCCATACTGGAGCACCAGTTTGAGTTCCAGATGCTTTGTTTCTGACCCAGCTCCCTGCTAATGAGCCTGGGAAGTCAGCAGATGACAGCCCACGTACTGGGTTCCCTGCCACCCATGTGGGAGACAGAGAGAGTCCCAGGCTTCTGGCGTCCACCTGGCCTAGTCTCAGCTTTGGCAGCCATCTGGGGACTGGAACAGCTGATGAAGATCTCCTTCTCTCTCTGGCCCTCCCCCTCCCTCTGTAAAATGTTTTTTTGAAGTGACATAGTCAAAACAAACAGAAAACTATTGTCAGTAATAAACAGCTGAAGAACTGATTTACCATTAAGGCCATTCAAAGCAGCCCAGATTTTGAAAATATATGGAAAACTAACTATTAAATACTACACATATCTTTTTTCAGTTCTCATGTTGTGAGAAAAATTTTTACTAAAATAATTGAAATTAATCAACACTGTAGTGAGTCTTTTCTAAAGTAACTATAGGGAAAATATTCTCACCTAAATTCTTGCATACACTGGAGCTAAATTTAAATAATGAAATTATTACATACTCATACTTGAAATGTAATTTATGAATAAGTACACAAAGACAGTTGTTTACAGAGGCTCAAAAGTGATTCAGGAAACAACTAGGGGGCAGGAACAGTGATTAGGACACTGCTTGGGATACCAGCAAGCCATATTCCATATCAGAATATTTGGGTAGAGTCTCAGACCCTCTGCTTTCAATATAGCTTCCTGCCAATGTGTACCGTGGGAGGCAACAGATGATGATTAAAGTACCTGGGTCCATGTGGCACATATGGGAGACCCTAAATGTGTTCCAGTCTCCAGGCTTTGGCCTGGCCCAGGTCTGGCTGTACAGGCATTTCAGGAATGAACCACTGGATAGAATACATTGGTCCATCTCCTTCTCTGTCTTTCTGTCTGTCTGTCTGTCTCTCTCTCTCTGCCTTTCTAATAAATAAATATTAAAACAAAAAAAATAGATTAGAAGGGAGAAGTATTTTCCAAAGAAATGCTCCACTGGAGCCGGCACTGTGGTGTAGCAGGTGAAGCCACCACCTGCAGTGTGGGCATCCCATATGGGTGCCAGTTCAAGTTCAAACTGCTCCACTTCCGATATGGCTCTCTGCTGTGGCCTGGGAAAGCAGGAGAAGACATTCCAAGTCCTTGGGTGCCTGAACCCACGTGGGAGACCCGGAAGAAGCTCCAGGCTCCTGGCTTCAAATTGGCGCAGCTCCAGCCGTTGCAGCCATCTGGGGAGTAAACCAGCAGATGGAAGACCTCTCTCTCCCTCTCTCTCTCTCTCTCTACCCCTCCCCACCTCCTTCTCTGCCTCTGCCTCTCTGCAACTCTGCTTTTCAAATAAATAAATCAATCTTTAAAAAAAAAACTGTTCCACTAAAACACTAGTAATACGTATATTCTCCTATTGTAGCCATGTGCCTTGGCACCTTTGCTGTGTGCTAGGGACTGGTCAAGTTCCCAACATAAACTACTTGTATTTTTTGGAAGAGAAATTGGAAGCTTCCAGGGAAGGTAAATGAAATGGTAGCTCAAAGGAGAGCCAGAGCACAGAGGAATGCAACACCAGAGCCTCGCTATTCACCACTCTCTTGGACGGCCTGGTAATCTGGTCCTGTTACCACCTGTGTTTTAAAACTTCATGAATATAAACCATCTGATGGGAGGAAGCAAAATCAGAAATATAATAATGTATCCTACTAAATACTTAAATAAAATGACCAACAAAACCGTCTGCTGAATTCAAGTAAATTTATAGCAGACCGACCCCAAGAAAAAGCCACAAATCAATTGTAACTGTTTTGTTTAGTGCTAAAAACTCAAACTGCAGTGATTACAGAACACGTTAGCATTCTTCAATTAGCAAGCAAATGTTTGTTTCAATAATTCACAAGAAATGACTTACACAACGTCTGTTACAGTGTTGTCAAGTAAGCCTGGGAGAGACCAACTGAACCAGGCGCCACTGTGTATCGATGTCAAGAGCTGGCCAGGAAGCACGATTAACCTCTGCAATGCCTCAGCTGATGCACTTACTCCATTAATGCTAATGGAGATGCTCCCACTTACATGCAGCTATCCCGTTATCAAAGGAATGCCTTTTAGTTTTTAAAGTCTTTGGCTGTATATTCTATTCTCTGCACTTACCCCTGAGCCTATTAGTTCATGCTCTTCTACCAATGAATAGGAACAAAATGAAAAGAACTAGAGCACATCAAAGTGTAAAGTAATGCACCAAAGCAAACCACAAGATAGCAGTGACAAGAAAACTAAGAAAATGATCCACAGAGATGAGGAAAACACCACAATAGTTCACATCCAAAGGGTTATATAAGAGGAAAAGTTCTGTATAATTTTTAGGAAAAAAAAAAAAAAACCTGTGACTGCTGATGGACTGATCTTACTGGTGGACAAAAATCTAAACCCAGAATTTAGTAGTCATCAAGTGTGTAATTTGCATATTAAGCTACAAAATAATAGCAATTATCATTGCTCATTAAGTATGGGGGGACGAGGAAGGAGTGCTGAAAAAAGATGTTTGCTTTTAGGATAAATTTGTTTCCACATTAGAAACAAGCACATTCCATTTATTTGGCCACTTGATTTTACTAGTCAGTGTACACACATACCTGATAAACTACCTAAATATATACAAAAAATGATCAAGGATAAGCAAAAATTAGAAATAAAGAAATCTAACCTGACAAAAGGGAGACAATAACATAGACTGAATATCATCACCACAGTCTAAGTTATCCAAATTTACAATCTTATTAAATCCCTGATTATTTTTCAAAAGACTAGTTACAAAACAAACTTCATGGTACCCAAGGGCACTTCAAAAAGTTTAAGTAAAAATTAAATTAAAAGATAAGTTTAATGTGCTGCCAAAAATTTTTGAAATCCCAGCACAGTTTTTTAAAATTTCATTTAAGTTATACAAGTTTCATGTATTTCATATAGCATAGTTTTTTAATATGCATTTTCCATGAACTTTCTGAAGAAGCTTCACAAGAAAGCTAATTAGACTACAATGAAAGTGTGAGAAAGCCCACTATGACCTATACTTCAAGTGAAAGTGGTACTTCTGTTCTGTTGCAGGCAGACTGGCCAAAGGGTCACTAGTCATCTTGAACCTTTCCCAGGCCATATCAGGAGTCCTCGCCACCCATTAGCAGCACTAATGGAGCTGCTCTCACAAAAGCTGTTGGTTGTCATAAAAAGGTTATCGAACAACAAAAGAAAACACAGGCATTTTTACTATATCAACTGACCACGAGGGGTTAAAACATTACAATAAGACAGTTACAAAGGAACTAGAAAATAAGGAGCAAAATTTTATAAATATATACAAATAATTGGCCACACCATTTTCAATTTTTTCCTTTATCACTATCACAGAATTTTCCAAAATTTTTATATTCTTTAAAAGGAAAGCCAATCAATTGCTATGAAAATTGAAAGGGAAAAATTAAAACTATAGGGATTACTTTTAAGTACTACCTGGATGGATATCCAGAAAATGTAGAAATGATTACTCCTTCTAAGGAGCCCCAGGTGAAAAGACAGTAACATTTACTCCTACAATAATCATTCTATACAACAAATGGGTAAAATATCTCTATGAAGCCACATAGGAAACTGCTTTCAAAAAGAGAAAAGAATGATTGCTCTTTCAGAGAAAATGATTTCATAATGAAATGAGTGAGAAATCATTTAAGCACTTTTCTTAACAAGCACATTCCTTGTTACTTTTCAAAAGATATTGTATTACCTAGAAATGATTAAAATGGCAGTATTTCCTATGAGAACATTTATTTTCTATTTTCTGTAATGACAGGCTAGATAAACAGATCAATCATTCCAATGAGAACATCTAGGAAAACTGGAGAGAATACTATAAAATGCTGCTTGAAGGCACTGAATTTTTAACAAGATAATGAAAAATTACTAGGTCAAAATCCAAGAGGACAAGGATATTCAGAAATTCCAGCTGAGCAATTAGGCCTAGAGGTATTTGTTGATTGCAGAGGGAGCTGCTTAGAGAATAAACAATGCTTATGATAAATCTAGAAGTAGGTGGTCATGAACTAGATTCAGAGTCTGCCTAGGGGGTCTACCTAGTTAGAGTCCCTCTTTATTTTGGGTTGAAATATAGAGAAATACAGCAGAAGAATGAATCTGTACCAATATTTAGCCATGGCTATTTTGGTGACCTTCATTTAAGTAATTTAACTATCAATTTCCCAAATAGGATTAAGATGATCCAAGATCAACAATATCTGAAAATTCCATTATCACCCAAATTAAAAATTATTTACAAATATTTTTAAAATAAATTCTAAATTCTAACAAACAAGGAGGGAAGATGTCATCATGAATGAGAAGTAACAGAAATAAAAACAGAAAGAGATCCAAAATAACCCAATATTGGAGTTATCAAAAAGACTTTAATAGGAACAGGTTTACTATATTTAAATAAATTTGACAAACCGAAAAAAATGGAAATGCAGAAAAAAAGAAAATATTTACTAGAAGCTTTTATAAATGACTATATGTTCAATTTTACTATAAACTTTTATTGAGATAATCATATAATATTGTTAAATGTGGCAAATTACACTCATTGATTTCTACTGATAAACTGATTTTATAATTATCTCAAACAATTTTTACTATAAACATTTCTCAGAATATTTTCACATAAGTTCATAAGCTGGAAAAGACTATATTTCTTCTTTGTTCATAATGGTATTATCAAGTGTCAGTATCAAGGTACAGTGACAGCATAAAACAGTAGTAGGCATAGTCTGAACTTTTTTATTCTCTGGAAGAGTTTTGGTAAAATTAACATTATTTATTCTGATATATTTTTGCATTCTTTAACTTAAAATTATGGAACTATTGAAACCTATGCATAGTTTTTCATAATACATTCTTTCTAGGGAATTCTGGATGAGCTTTTGTATGCACGGATTTCAAAACTTTCTGTGCCATTTATCACAAACTTTTTGATGTGCCCTCCTGTGATGAGCCACACTGACCCAGTTATGTGGGACAAATAAATCCATGGAGATTCTAATGCATGAAAAACAGATCTCCTTATTACATATTATAGATAAAGTAACAAAATAGCACAGAAAATGCTACTGATTCCATCTTCCACTGCTGCTTTTTGAAGTAACTATAATTTTAGCACACATAAGAGGAGAAAAACAAGCATTCTCTCAAAGATTTCTGAAACGTAAAATGTATAGTGCTGTCAGCATGAAGACTTATTTATTATTTCCCTTTTGAATGAAAAATATGTAATTCTTCTCTCATCAACAGAGGAACACATTCTAAAGAACATCATGTAAGCATTTGTGATCAATCTTGAAGTATTTTACATAAAACAGTGTGACCTTTGATTCCCTCTCTGTGGTTTACTTTAAACTGTTGTTCTTTTGTGAACAGTTGTGCTTTCTATTACATGCTGTCATTTAGATTCACTCTGTCATCCCTATTATTAGAATTGTTTTGTTGTATACTTCACAATTCAAAAGGATAGTGGTTATAAGAATACCTTATAATCAGCATAAAGTTTACCAGCCATCATCAAAATTAACCCTCAGACACACAAAAAAGAACTCACTTGACAAACATGAAGGGGGCAGGCAGCCCCTTGATACGAAAGAATCTTTGAATGTGCCAGGGGATTGCCTCAAGTTTTCTTAAAGAATGATACTCTTTCAAGTCAAGAAGACTCAGAAATGTTCAAAGCTGCACAGGGACATCAGTGTAGGTAAAATGAAGCAAATCACAAAGAATCCAGAAGCCACTATTTAAAACATGTAAAGTTGCTTTCAAATGTGGTCTTGGATACCAAACTTTAATCTAGCTAGCAGACTTAAATACTTAAAATTGGGTAAGTACAAACTCTCCAATCGCAACAACAGAAAATAAAGTATTATTTATAAACCATGAAAGAATACATAACAAGTCATTTAATCACTCATTCTCCATACCTACAGAAATATTCTGATTTACGTCTTAAAAGTTATTCCGTATTTGTGAATGACAACGGAGGGGCAGAGTGAATACAATTCAGGAGAGAAACTTGGTAATTACTCCACATAATCACAGCTCCCAGAGACTGTGGAGGTACTCACTTTGGCAGCACTAATGACTGTGGCAGTGTAAGACTGAATGTTGTCTCCACAGGCTCCACCACGGGACTGATGGCATCGAATCAACTGGGAGTAAAAAAAGAGAACCAGAAAGTCATTTCTATTAAACTGTTTAAGTTTACAGGCTATTAGATAGAGCTTATTCACCATGCATAATGATGGTGGTGGGTGGGAATGTTTGCATGAGTGTATTTCAGACAAACAGCTGAAAGCCCTGCTGAGACACTTTTACCCCTTTTTATAATCTACTGGTGCCACTCAGGCAGTTTCATGCTCAAATACGGTTTTAATTACAAGATGAATAGTCTTTTTAAGAATTCATAAACTCTGAAATGGTAGGATTTGGAATCTGGCAGCCTTTCCACAAATAAGTTTTAAAAACATAATCAAAGTACGTAAACATGACTTCCAAACATTAAAATATTTGACATGCTAGCAAATTGGATGTTTTGTCTTTTCAATTCCTTCACAAAGATTATAAAAGAAAACAAAAAACATGCCAAGGATTTTACATATTTACATTCTTAATTATCAGTGGAAAGGTGGCACAAATAATGTACAAATCAATGATGACATTCATGCTAGCTGACCACTACATAGGGCTTACTTCTTTTACCATTAGGAGTAAAAAATAAAATGCCCTTATTCTTGCTGCCTGTACAATAAATCAACCTGTCAATTTTCAAAGTTAATTGCTACTATGACATGCATGATTCCCTCATATGCTAAGCAACAAATCAGGATTAAATTCTCTACTGGTACTACACTTACTATATTTGGAAAAAACAATCATTAGCCAGATTAGTATGTTTGCATTTTTAAAAAATAAAATGAGACTAAGTAGAGTATTAGGAAAGCACCCAATTTTAATAGGTTTTAAAAGCCCCAGGAATCCAAAAAAAAAAAAAAAAAACTACATCTCCCAAAATGTAAAAATAAAAACACATTACATAATCTAAAACCAGGCCCTTTGGTGAAGATTAACTAGTAATCCTTTTATTCTTAAATCAAAATTTTCTTCATCATTGACATTACTTTATTTTAATCCCTGAAAGCAATATTAATATATTATAACAGAATGGAATACATTTAAAACTCTGATATACAAAGTCAAGCTATTTTTTAGGCAATGTCTGTTATGTCCACACTATATGGTTAAGTAGATTTTAAGATGGTGACAAATTTTCTAAATGATAAGTGCTGGGTAAATGTGTTTTTTTTACATAGAATGAAATAATGAATTTGAAAAGTGATTATTTTGGCTAATAAAAAGGATCTCTCCCTCACTTATTTGTTTATCCACAAATACACAATGAAAGTATTATAAAAATTATCCCTCTGCTGCCTCCTGCTGCATGAGCAAAGAAAGGCAGTATTTTGTAAAGACTCATCTACTTTCTGCTTCAAATAATTACAATATCCAAGGACAAGCCTACCCTTTCAGTTTAACAAGTTAACATGTCTACCTTCACAATAAACTATGCCAGATTTGGGGCTACAACTCGGACTCGTGAGAAAATTACATTTGTATCTTGATTCAACAAATTTATAGCTGAAAAGGAATGTACTCTATTGTAAAACTCTATCAAACAGACTAATTTTCCTAGAAATATTTGAAAGAATAAGAGCAGCATTCCAAACAGCACATATACTACCATGAAATACTAAAATACATCAACACATAACTACACATGAAATAAAATCATAACTAAAACGAAGGTAAGGTGAAAGAAATGTAAAGATCAAATAAAAAGTCATGAAAATAACCTAAGAATACTGTATGTACATGTACACCTTCAATTTTGGACAGCAATGAGACAGGACGTGATGGCAGAAACATCCGCAACAACAAAAACCTGGCCTCTTTTTATCTGGTATCGGCAAGCAATCCTGAAGGTTTTTTTTTTTTTTAAATATGTAACAAGTGAGCCCAAGAGCTGATGCCAGGGTCTAATATGCAAGATAAGAGGTATATGGATATGGAATGCATAATTTATAAACTACATAATGTGTATAATCATATGTAGACATACAAGGGAACATGTGTGTGCATGTGCCCATTTGTGTGAATAGCTATTAAGTTGGTGTATATATGTCTCCCAGCTCTTCCCTGAAAGGGTACAGAAGTAAGAATCGATACACTCCAGGAGAAATAAGCACACTTATCAGACTATGATTATTCTCTAGTACCACTGTTCATTAACAAGCACCCATAGGAAAGTGAGGAAAAAGCAGATTCCAAGGCTGAGGTAAAGGTAAATATAGAAGAATCTGGACATAGTCTTAAGCCAGTGAATAAGGAAACAATTTTGTGTTGCTTTTTTCTCTTTTTTAATGATGAGAATATTTGACAAGGTTTTCCATTGTTTAACTAGAAGCAGCTTCCATTGTTTAACTCTGGGACATTTTGAAAACCATAATAATTAAGGATGATTATAAACTACAAAACCACTGAAAACAGAAATCTGTATCAAAAATATAGATACATAAAAAAATATGGACAGACACAAAAGAGAAAAAAAGAGCAAGGTGGAAATTCTTGTTTACAATATATATCAAGCAAATAAAAAACTAAAGTCATTGTAATTTTTAAAAACTATTAATGGATAAAGAGATTTATACTCTTTACAGTATCAATGATGTAAAACATTGTGGACTATCCTATAGTTAAAGAAGGGCATTCCAGTAAAATATACTACGTTATCCTAAATCAGATCCACTCTATGGCACAGGAAAAAATTCTACAAATAGCATTACAGGACTAATTGAAAAAATCAGAATTTGGATGGTAAATTAGATAACTGTATTTCATCATTATGAAAGTGGTTACTAACTAATGTTTTTAGAGTTGATCGTATACAGAACTTACTCTGAAATGGTCCAGAGGACAATCTGTGTTTGTGACATGGTAAAAATACACTTAAAAAATGGCTCTGAAAACGAAACTCTACCACAAAATAGTTTATGCTTAAGATTTTATTATCAAGAGGATTTTCATAAAGCTGTAACTCTAAAATTTAATTTAATTTTGCAATTATACACTCACTCTAAAAGTTAAAATGGAGACTGATAATAAATAATAGCTCATATGGAAATATGATGCAAAGACATTTATGCAAAAATATTTACAGATGACAGAACAACCATTTGATTGGGAAATTCCCTGAGAATGTCACTACTTTGCCTGGTCTCTTTACACAACAGCAGGTATTACCGACATGCATCTCTGCAAAGGCAAGACAAGTGGTGCATATCCAGGCTACCAATCTATGAATAGAGATCCTTCCCTACAAAAACAAAGTGTAACTCTTGACAGGGCACTGCCAATCCAAGACAGACAGTTTCACACACAGGAAAACACATCTACAAAAGCCAAGGGACAATTCATACATCTTCTTGGATGTCCCCAGAACACAAGGGAAAAGCATTAGGATGTAAACATGAGCAGACACATTTATGTCACCACATTTAACTCGATGCCTCTTGTCTTGTTTGAAAAAGTAATTTGAAAAGAACGAGCTATGAGATACATGGCAACATCAAGAGAACAAGCAGGAATATTCAGTAAGAGGCATAAAAATATTGAACTACTACAGACTTTTCAAATATCAAGGAGTTTATCTAGAAAAATAATCTGTCAGTAGTTCCTTGATTCCAGAGCTAGAGATTTACTAGCTCTGTGGCTTCACCAAACACTCACTTTACTTACCACATCCTGATTTTGTCAAGAACTATTTTGTATTATTTCATAATATTTCCAAGATACAACTATGCAACTAGCAAAATGATACCAAAATTACTATTCTTTGAAGTCTATAATATTCTTAAGTTTTCATCACCCAGTCACATACAGAGTTTCAAAACAGGATTAAAAAACTATTGCACTTCTTAAAATTTATCTTTTGCCTTGAGTTGGAAATAAAACTCTTAGTATAAAATACAATATTTTCACTTACTATGAAGATCCTAATAAACTGATAACTGAAAATCCATCAAATCATGTATATTTGTGACTTAATCATTTAAAAAATGAATGGATCCCTACTAAGACCTACTTGCTCATTTATACAGTCGATTAGATCATACTGGACCCAAGGTTTCCAGCCCACCAACGAAGTTATTTTTCCTCCTAATTTTTAGTTTCACAGAAAGTTGACTTTCTATGGAAATGTCAATGCTTTAATATTCAACATTAATAAACATTTATAAAACTAAGCTTAGAAAATTTAGATTCTATAGAATCTTGATTTAAGGACAACTGATAAACATATGTGAACTCTTAAAAAGAATCCAATGATTGCAAAATTGAAACCATCTGAAAACAAACAAATAAACAAACAAAAAACTCATTCTTTGTAATCCCTAAACGGTTTATATTTTTATTATGGAAAAGCCTTGCTGCAGTAGAAATAACCCAAACATGGGCCACACCTTACCTTGTTCTCTGCATAAGCAAGCCAGCGGCTGCCAAGAGCAATAGGGTTCATGTTTGGCCCTGGACAAGGGTAACAACCTGAAAAATTTCAAATGAGAGTATTGAGATGTTTCTTTATAACTTTTCTGTTGGTGTATCACATGTGGACTTCAGAAGAAAAGAAAAATCAAATGGTTATTTTTTTCAAATGGCATGTAAAGTTTCGTTAATACTAGTTATTATTCTAATAGGTAGATTACATGGATATTTTTCTCCTTAGTTTCTTTTTGGTTTTGACTGTGTTCGAAAATAAAACAAATCTGGGATGAACTGGTAATCACTTCTAGTGAAATTTGGCATTTTATACAGTTTTATTTTGCATTTTATTAAGTTATTCCTGAACAATGCATTAAGGAATTTAAGGGCAAAAGATGAATGAGACAATCAGACATACAAGAATCCTTTAAAATGTTATGGATTGGCTGGTGCCCTGGCTCACTTAGCTAATCCTCCACCAGCAGAGCCGGCACCCCAGGGTTCTAGTCCCGGTTGGGGCGATGGATTCTGTCCCGGTTGCTCCTCTACCAGTCCAGCTCTCTGCTGTGGCCCAGGAAGGCAGTAGAGGATGGCCCAAGTGCTTGGGCTCTGCACCCGCATGGGAGACCAGGAGGAAGCGCCTGGCTCCTGGCTTCAGATCGGCACAGCGCGCCGGCCGCAGCACACCGGCCGTGGCAGCCATTTGGGGGTGAACCAACGGAAGGAAGACCTTTCTCTCTGTCTCTCTCTCTCTCTCTCTTTCACTGTCCAACTCTGCCTATCAAAAAAAAAAGTTATTTATGAAATGGAATTAAAAGATAATTTTTAAAGACATTTTTTTTGACAAATAGAGTTAGAAAGAGACAGAAAGAAAGGTCTTCCTTCCGTTGGTTCACCCCCTAAAAGGCCGCTACGGCCAGAGCTATGCCAAACCGAAGCCAGGAGCCAGGTGCCTCCTCCTGGTCTCCCATGCCGGTGCAGGGCCCAAGCACTTGGGCCATCCTCCACTGCCCTCCCGGGCCACAGCAGAGAACTGGACTGGAAGAGGAGCAACTGGGAATAGAACCCGGTGCCCATATGGGATGCCGGTGCCACAGGCAGAGGATTAACCAAGTGAGCCACAGAGCTGGCCCCAAGACTTATTTGTGTATTTATTTATTTGCTTGAAAGGCAGAGAGAGAGATTGAGGAAGAGAAATAGCAAGAGAGACTTCTTCCATATGCTGGTTCACTCCCCAAAAGGCATCAACAGCCAGGTCCAGGTCAGGGTGAAGCCAGAAGCCAGGAACTCCATCTGGGTCTCCCACAAGGGTAGCAAGGGACCACTTACATGGACCATCTTACACTGCCTTTCCAAGACCATTAGAAGAGAACTAGACTGGAAGCAGAGCAGCCAAAAATCAAACAGGCGATCCAATATGAGACAGAAGCTTCACTAGCAGCGGCTTAGGCAGCTACATCAAAATGCCAGCCCCGAAGCAAACATTTCTGAAATCCATGCAAAGTTTTTTTATAGAACTCATTTTCTTTTTGAAAACTTCTTGCATATCTAAAAGGAAATGATGATGCCACACTGGCAAACATTAAACAACAGTACTTAAACATAGAGCTAGTGAGCTAAGTGTGCCTCAATAGAAATATGTTGGGGAAAAACATAATCCTGTGCATTTATGTTAAGCAGCCGATTTCACCTGTCTTGTTTCCAGTCTCAGCCAATAACAGATTGAGCAATGATAAATATTTATTGTTCATGGGCCAGTGCTGTGGCACAGCGGGTTAGCATCCTGCCTGAAGCGCCAGCATCCCATATGGGCGCCGGTTCAAGTCCCAGCTGCTCCACTTCCGATCCAGCTCTCTGCCATGGCCTGGGAAAGCAGTAGGAGATGGTCCAAGTCCTTGGCACCCTGCACCCATGTGGGAGACCACAAAAAAGCTCCTGGTTCCTGGCTTCAGATCGAAGCAGCTCTGGCCATTGCAGCCAACTGGGGAGTGAACTATCTCTCTCTCTGCCTCTCCTCTCTCTGTATAACTCTGACTTTCAAGTATATACATAAATCTTTTAAAAAAGTAATGTTCATTATTTTCTACCTTTCTGCAACTTGATCTGAATATGCAAAATTACCAATTTGTGTCTATTTTGTTCGTCACTGAATTTCCACTTCTTAGAATAATGCAGGATACATACCAGATACTAAATAAATTCAAAACAATACTGTACATAAGAAAATTTTTTCACATATCAAAATAATATATTCAGGTAAGCAGCGTATTTATTTTACAGCAATCCTCACATGGAAATCTTTCTTACCCGTATATCATATGCTTGCCTGAATTCAGAACACCTTTATGAGCAGCATTTGCTTATCATACCATTTGTGTCAAATATTATGCACACAAGAACTAAAGAAGCACACATTGAGTCCAGACTATGGAGCAGCAGGTTAAGCCACCACCTGCAATGCTGGCATCCCTAATGAGCACTAGATTGAGTACCAGCTGCTCCATTTCTAAACAGCTTCCTGCCAATGCCCCTAAGTGAGCAAAGGAAGATGGCCCAAGTATCTGGGCTCCTGTCACCAACATGGAAAACCTGGATGAAGCTCCTGGATTCAGCCCAGTCCACCCCTGGCCTTTGCAGCCATTTGGAGAGTAACCCAGCACATGGAAGGTGTTTCTCTCTCTCTCTCTCTCTCACTCTTTCTGTAACTCTACTTTTCAAATAAATAAATAGTTTTTAAAAAGCACACATTGCTGTGGCTTCCATCACAGAGTAAGATTGAGTTCGGCTTCTATTTTGGATTTTTGTTTGGTAATGAAGATAATGAAGTTACAATTTTTAAAATGCAATGTGAAAATCCATATATTAGTGAAAAAAACTCATTTTCTTGCATATTGTTTTGAAAATCTATGCTATGGGGGCCGTGCTGTGGAGTAGTGGGTAAAGCCGCCACCTGCGATACTGGCTACCATGTGGGCTCCAGTTTGAGATCTGGCTGCTCCAATTTTTTTTTTTTTTTGGACAGGCAGAGTTAGACAGTGAGAGAGAGAGAGAGAGAAAGGTCTTCCTTTTCTGTTGGTTCACCGCCCAAATGGCCGCCATGGCTGGTGCGCTGCGGCCGGCGCAGCGCTGAACCGAAGCCAGGAGCCAGGTGCTTCCTCCTGGTCTCCCATGCGGGTGCAGGGCCCAAGCACTTGGGCCATCTTCCACTGCCTTCCAGGGCCACAGCAGAGAGCTGGACTGGAAGAGGAGCAACCGGACAGAATCCAGCACCCTGACTGGGACTAGAACCCGGGGTGCCGGCACCACAGGCGGAGGATTAGCCTAGTGAGCCATGGCGCTGGCTTTTTTTTTTTTTAAGTTTTATTTATTTTACTTGAAAGTCATAGTTACATAGAGAGAAGAGAGGCGGGGGGGGGGGGAGAGGAGAGGAGAGGAGAGGAGAGGAGAGGAGAGGAGAGGAGAGGAGAGAGGAGAGGAGAGAGGGAGAGAGAGGACTTCCATCTGCTGGTTCACTCCCCAACTGTCTGCACCTGCTGCACAAATCCAGAGCCAGGAGCTTCTTCCAGATCTCCCGTGTGGGTGCAGGGGCTCAAGGACTTGGGCCATCTTCTACTGCCTTCCCTGGCCATAGCAGAGGGCGGGATCAGATGCAGAGTAGCCAGGACTCAAACTGGCGCCTACAGGGGATGCCAGCACTGGAGGTGGCGGCTTTACCCACTACACCACAGCACCGGCCCCTGCTCCACTTCTGATCCAGCTCTCTGCTATGGCCTAGGAAGGCCATAAAAAAAAAGAAAATCAATGCTATGGTTTAAAGCAATGTTTTTACTGTGCTTTTGATCCTGGGAAAACTGACCTTAGGATAACTTTGATACTGCTGTATCTACAAATGCATAACATAGAGACATAAATCGAACAAAGACACAAAAATTGTATAATCACAACATATTCTACAATGCAAATTTTATAGATTTACATACTGTATTGTATATTAATAAAACTAATGTTATTTATGCAAAAATGTACTTTTACATATGACTTTGTATAGATACATTCCAATGAAAATTTCAGACCAGGTTTGTAAATATGGTCTAAATCAGAATCAAACACACTTGAATTGTGGCATCAATTTAGAAGTAACTAATCCTTAATTAGTTTTAAAAGTCAGTATAATCTCTCAATTCTGATATCCACTTCAAACTTCAATAGATGATAGTACAGTCTGCTTTACAAATACTAAAAGATTCTATGTGGAAACTGTTTAAAATTCTTCATATCACTTTTGAGATCGTGTTTTTAGAAACTTAGTGAACTGCAGGAATCATACTGTATTGGTGTGAAAACAAAATGTTTTTCTGCTCACAAAACACTTTACAGCTAGGATAAGCAAAACATTAGCCACTCAGCACTATCCCCACTTTATAAGCATGACTCCTGTAATGATTAACTCTTGCCTCCAGCAAAACTTTGAAAACACTAGTAGGGGGGGCTTTGAGGGGGATGCTGAACCTCTATAATACTTGCACTAATTCTTTTTTTTTTTTTTTTTTTTGACAGGCAGAGTTAGACAGTGAGTGAGAGAGAGAGAGAGAGAGAAAGGTCTTCCTTCCATTGGTTCAACCCCAAATGGCCGCTATGGCCGGCGCGCTACACCGATCCGAAGCCAGGAGCCAGGTGCTTCCTCCTGGTTTCCTGGTCTCCCATGCGGGTGCAGGGCCCAAGCACTTGGGCCATCCTCCACTGCACTCCCAGGCCACAGCAGAGAGCTGGTCTGGAAGAGGAGCAACCGGGTCAGAATCCAGTGCCCTAACTGGGACTAGAACCTGGGGTGTCAGCACCGCAGGCAGAAGATTAGCCAAGAGAGCCATGGCGCCGGCCTACTTGGACTAATTCTAATATGTTTACAGTGATTTAGAACAAAGTAAGAAGAAAGAACTGGCTATAATAAGAATGTAGGTTTTCCAGTTTAATGAAACTAAATAAAGGCTCTTCCGTTAGTAAAGAAGCAATTAATAAGGTACTTGAGAATGATGCAGCTTTCAGGGCCAGCATTGTGGCACAGC